AATATTCTTCTAGTTGTGTCCCCTGAAGTATTTTGTCCTGTTGGCACCGTTAATATGGCATTCTAGTGCCCCCTTTTATTTGTGTCACGTCTGAGCATTGCATTTTTTGTTAAAGGAAGGATTTTTTTTTTAAATACCTTTATTCTATTTATTCATTTGTATTTGGTGCTGAGGATTGAACCGAGGGCCTCACATGTGCTAGGTAAGCACTCTACAGTTGAGCTATTGCCCCAGCCCCGAGTTTTGCATTTTTTAAATTAAGGGAGACCCCACCCCAAATCCTCATAGAAAATTTTGAAATCATAAAAAAGAAAAAAGGGAGAAGGATGAGACCCACAACACTACTACTCAATAACAATTACTTCAAAACTATTTAGTTTTTGTTTTATATACTTAGTCATTTGTAGCATATACAGAGAAACTTGGGAAATGCCAATGAATACCAAGAAGAAAAAATTGAATCACATGTAAATTTATACTGTATATATAGATTTGTATCTTTATTTTAGTTTTTTAATTTATTACTTTTATTTTTGGGTACTTGAACCCAGGGGCATTTAACCACATCTCAGTACTTGACTATTCTATGTACATTATATAAGATAAATTCCACGACAGTTGTCCTTTTGTATCTGGTTTATTCGCTTAGCAGAATATCTTCAGGGCTGGTCCATGTTGTAGGCTGGATCCTGATTACTTTTCTCTCTTAATTTCTGCTATAATCGATATGGCTTTTAATAGCATCATCCATTCTACTGTGCCAGATGTGGGAGGATTCTCTGTTAAAAATGTTGTTTGATTCCTCTCCTTAATTCTGTTACCTCTGTTTAACTCTCCAGCTGCCATCACTTAGATCTCTTCTTCAATTAAATAGACTAAGTTTTCTTCATTTCTTTACAAACATTAGGTTGAAGTTGTATTGATCCTTGAGAATTTCTTCTTCTGGAGGAGTCCTTTGTCCTTTGGGCTCCTCTTTGAATAGGGGGTTGTTTTATCTGCTCCCCCCCCCCCAACCCTGTGAATTCTTTTTTTTTTTTTTAAGTGAGAGTGAGATTGAGCTGGGGATGTGGCTCAAGCGGTAGCAAGCTCGCCTGGCATGCGTGGGCCCGGGTTCGATCCTCAGCACCACATACAAACAAAGATGTTGTGTCCGCCAAAAACTAGAAAATAAATATTAAAAAATTCTCTCACTCTCTCTTAAAAAAAAATAAGGTGAGAGTGAGAGACAGAGAGAGAGAGAATTTTTTAAATATTTATTTATTTTTTGGCGGACACAGCATCTTTGTATGTGGTGCTGAGGATGGAACCTGGGCCCACGCATGCCAGGCGAGCACGCTACCACTTGAGCCACATCCCCAGCCCAACCCTGTGAATTCTTGACTCACCCTGAGTGTTTACCTTGTTTCTTTTGCTGTTTCAAATGCAAACTGGCTGGCTGGCCGGATATTGTCATCAGTTTGCAATCTCTGTTTAGTCATTTGGCTTCTCTGGTCAATAGAGGATATGACCTGAATTAATAGGTAGCTGAGGTCCCATTTTGGCTATGTTGTCTCAGAATGTTTTTCACAGGGAATCCAGTGAACCGTCTCATGCACAGATCCCTGGGAAGTGGTCTCCCCCATGAGACCTTTCCTTTTCTTCTCACAGACAAGCAGGTCATTCTGGTTGAAATCTCTGCCCTTGCATGCAACACGGTACCCAAGGTTTTGATTTGATGGGTCATCTTCTGTTTATATAACTTAAATAAGTATGCTTAAATAACTTCAATCCACAGTTGCATAGATGATTTTCATCTTGTGATTTCTTTCCTCTGTGAAGGACAGCTATTTAATTCTTCAGAGTTCCAGAGTGCCTGAGTTCAAATGTCATCTCTGCCACCTTTAGCTGATATCCACATGCAGTTTATCTAACTTCTCTGGGCCACAGTTTTCCCATCTTTGAAATGGGGCTAGTAGTAATGCCTGCTTCAGAAAGTTGATATGAGAGCAAATCTGACATAAAGTAAGTCCTCAATAGTTGTTAGTCACTGTCATTACATTTCTTGTAGGGGTAAATGGGTGAATGTTCATCTTTTCACTATCTTTACAAGAAGCTCCACAGGATGAAATTCAATAACATTGGAAAAGTCCAGGGCACGGTGCTTGACACATACAAATCCTCAAAACAATGGTAGAATGTTAAGTAATGAGTCTCCTGCACCTGTGTCCCAGGGAGAGGACAGGTACAGGGAGGAATGGAGGTGGAGAAGAGAAGACATTCCAGAGTTTGTCTTTGCTCTAGGCTAGATTGAGGTCCCTTTTCCTCTCTTCCAACACTTAGTGAGCACCCCTATATCCAACTATGTGCAAATCAATTGTGAGTAATATCTTCCCAGGAGCTTGCAGCCTTATTGTTCTTTCAATACCTCCTTATCCACTTGGATTCTAAATATTGATAGGTAATTTTATTAGGCAGACAAAAGTCTGTGATCATACTCTAACACATTCCCTAAATTAAACTCAACAATAGTCATATAATCCTAGTTACTGAGAAGGAAAGATGCACAATTCCAGCCTTGGATAATCTCAAATTCCAGGCTTATGATGGCTAAAGTGTTAATTTCTTATAACTCTCAAGAAATTCTAAGAAAAATGTTGAATGCATAGCACGTGTCAGTTACTCTCCCCAAGCTAAGCTGTCCACTTCACATGTTGGGGCCATGTTTCCTGCCTATGACCCTTGCCACCGAAGGAGCAAACAAGTCTCCTGACTTGGGTACACCTTGTGTGTGATGGGGTGCTGCTGTGCACACCAAAGAGGTCCTTCCAAACTGGTCTTCCAGTGGTGAGTTAGGATTTAGAGAGTTTCAAGGAACACATTTGTAAGAACTACATCTAAATATGCAAAGTCAAAGGTGATTATTTTCTCCATTTCTCTCTAGGAGTGAATGGCCTTCCAGCTGGTCAGGTTGAAGTGTAGCTCAGTGGCAGAGCATTTGCCTGGCATGCACAAGGCTCTGGATTCAATCCCCAGAACCAAAACAAAACAAATAAAGTCAGGCATGCTGGTACGTGACTGCAATCCCAGTTATTCAGGAGGCTGAGGCAGGAGGATTGCAAGTTGGAGGGCACCCTGGGCAACTTAGCAAGACCCTGTCTGAAAATACAAAAAATAAATAAAAAAGACTGGGGGTGTGGTTCAGTGGTAGAGAACCCTGGGTTTAATTCTGAGTACCAGGGGAAGAAAAAAAGAGAAGAAATAACAGTGGCTTGAAGAAGGAAAAATATGGATGGGTAGTCTAGGACTGCTTCGTCAGAGACCTGCTTCTTGATTTTTTTAATATTTATTTTTTAGTTGTAGGTGGACACAATATCCTTATTTCATTTTTATGTGGTGCTAAGGATTGAACCCAGGGCCTCACATGTGCTAGGCAAGCGCTCTACCACTGAGCAACCCCAGCCCTGCTTCTTGATTTTGTTGTCATTCTCAACCTGTGTCTACTACCTCATGGCTCAAGATAGCTGCTTCAACTTGACCCATCCCATCTTCATTCCAGGCAGCAGGGAAGAAGAGGGAAAGTAGGACATGCACCTCCCATTAAAGATACTTCCTAAAAATTGCACCAAACATTTCTACTTACCTCCTAGAACACAGTCACTGGCCACATCCAGCTGGAAGGGAGTCTTGGATATGCAGACTTTATATCACTTATCTTGCTAAAACTCAGGGGCTCTATTGAAGAAGAGGTGAATATGGGGGAACAATGTGCAATCTCTGCCAGTCTTTCATCTCTACTTCTCTCCACAGAGTGATTCTTTTCTCCTTCCGGTAGACCGGCCTACTCTATTCATAGTTTCTGACTATCACACTTTCTGGGATGGCCACAGTGTACACTCTTAGCTCCACCCACAAGCCTTCTTGGTTCCAAAGCAGCACATGATGTAGCTAGCTCCGTCCCGGGTCTTAATTCCAAGTTTCTGGGAGAACAGTTGATTGGTCCTCAGCTCTGAGCCAGTCACCTCTGGTGGGCATGGCAGGGCACTCCCTTTTAGAATGGGATGGAGCAATTCTCTGGTAAGCCTGCTTTCCCTATGATCATGCCCCTTGCACTAGGTGCAAGTTGTCTGCTTGTCCTCAGGGCAAGGGTGCATTGTTGTTGTTGTTATTATTATTATTATTATTATTTTGGTACTGGGGATTAAACCCATGGGCACTTTACCACTGAGCTATATCCCTAGTCCCTTTTATTTTTTTTATTTTGAGATAGGTTCTCACTAAATTGCTGAGGTTCTTGCTAAGTTGCCCCAACTTGCCACACTCTCACCTCAGCCTCCTGAGTCACTGGGATTACAGGTGTGCTCCACCTCACCTGGCTAAGGGTGCATTTTCTTCACATACTTAACCCAGAACATAGCAACTACTTGGCATACTCCATATATAATGTAAAATGAATAATCCAATTTAGTTTTTAACTACACAGGTTGAATGCTTGACAAATTTACAGAGTAAAAAAATAAAAAAGTGCCAGGGGCAGCCCAAGAACCAGGACTCCTGACTCCCAATGCCTGAAGTGACCTTCCAGAATGACCTGGTTAATTATGGTTTATCTGCCTCATTGTTCAGCACTTGCATTGTGTGCACCCCTGCCTAAGACTGCAGAGACTCTCCCCAGACATGGCCCAGAGGGTCCTAGTCTAGGGAACACTGGCTGCATGGCTCAGCCTTCCTACCAAAGCTTTGAGCTGAGCCCCTCTGCAGAGATCTCATCCTCACTCGGCCCTAGCCAAAGCTGCAGGGATGTTCAAGGAGCTGGGCTGAGTAATGAGATAAAGGCCAGAAACCAGCTTCCTGGCCACCTTTCCCTGAGCTGCTTCCAGGGGAAGCTCAGCCATAGTAAAAAAGAGCTAATGCCTCCCCAACCACCACTGTCCTACTCCCCAGCCCCCAAGACCCTTCTTCCTTCCTCCTCCAAGTTCCTGCACCCTCACTGTCCTGTTCTCTTGTGCCACCTATCTTCACAGGCCTCGAACCCTCTATGGCAATCCAGGGGCTCCACTGCTGTGTCTTCAGGAGGCCGTTTCCGGTGCCCATCTTGCAGGCATGAGGTGGTCCTGGATCGACATGGTGTGTATGGCCTGCAGCGAAACCTGCTAGTGGAGAACATTATAGACATTTATAAGCAGGAGTCTTCCCGGTAAGCTGTTAGGGACTCTTGCCTCTCACCTCTCACAAGATCAGGGCCAGGGACTCTGCCAAGGAACCCATCAGGGCCAGAAGGGAGGGAAGGGAACAATCAACTGCCTCTTCAGTTTAGAGAGGAGAGGCCTGAATCCACAGAGGGGAGGGACTTGGCCCAGATCATGCTGGGATGGCAGACTCTGATTCCCTGGTAGTACTTCTCCTTCACCCTCTCCTCTTGGGGTGGGGCTGGGAGTCTACCAGCAAGACCCTTGACCTTGCCAACCCTCCATGACTTCCTGTCCTATGGGACAGTCTTGCCCCCTGGAATAGAGACTTGTCTTGGATCCAGGTCTCCTCTACCTCTTAGCCACATCCCCTCCCCAAATTGACATGGAAACCACTTACCCACCCACAGCACAAGCTGCAGGGAGATAATGGCAGTTGAGTGGAGACTCAACACTCTGGGCTCACCTCCCTGGCCCCTGACTCTCACTGCCACCCTGCTTGCTCCCCTCAAGGCCACTGCACTCCAAGGCTGAGCAGCACCTCATGTGTGAGGAACACGAGGAGGAGAAGATCAATATCTACTGCTTGAGCTGTGAAGTGCCTACCTGCTCTCTCTGCAAGGTCTTTGGTGCCCACAAGGACTGTGAGGTGGCTCCACTGCCCACCATTTACAAACGCCAGAAGGTATCAAGCAGGGAGGGGAGTTCGAGTGGGAGCTTAGGCCAGGGTCAGCCTTTTCGCTCCACTTGCTTGTGCGATCTAGTGGATCAGGCTAACGGCGCAGTTCTAGGCCTGACCCTGCTTGGTCAGTTACTTGACCTCTCTGGACCTCACTTTCCTCAATTATAAAACAGAAAGTGAAAATACCTACTTTTGAAAGCTGTTATAAGCATAGTATTAGATAATGGATGAAAACAGATTTCAGTGTGGTAGACTAGATATGCTCAAGGTCCCCTCCCTATCACACATCTAATTTCTGCATAAAGCATAATTTTAAAATTAGATTGGTTGGCACATAGGAAGTGAAAGGAACCTCCAAGTGGAGTGGGGCAGGGTGAGGAGGAGAGAGCCAGATGAAAACAGAGCCCTTGGCAGCCAGCAAAGAAAAGACACCATTTCCCAGAGGGTCGATGCTGGCAGTGCCACTGAGCTTGACAGAAGAGACGATGCCTTCAAATATCTAAAAGGTGGGGGAGCTGCCTCTAAGACTCCCAAGACCCCAGGTTAAACTGAAACCCTGGAGCTAACATCATCAGCTGCCACCTGGCCTTTGACGGGAGCAAATGCAAATTCTGCCTGGAGGAAAATATCCTCAATTTAGCACTTAGGTTTTGTTGATTAAGATCAACAAAATATTAGTTTAAAATTGAAGATACACAGAAGAATGTACTCCATGAGTGAAGTCAGCAGAAACAAAAATTATAATTCAGACCCTTGAGAAATTCAGATATTGGAATTATTTTTATAAAATATTTCTTAGTTGTTAATGGACCTTTATCTTATATGTGGTACTGAGAATCAAACCCAGTGCCTCACATATGCTAGGCAAGCGCTCTGCCACTGAACTACAACCCCAGGCCCAGATGTTGGAATTATTAAAGAATAGAAAGTCACTATGAATAAATGCTTTTTAAAAGATGGGATATTTTTAAAAAGCAATTATAGAACATTAAAAGTGACCATGCATATCTGACAAAGCACCAAATAGAGCTTTTATAAATTAAGTTACAATTATTTAAATAAAACATTCAATGGATGAATTGAATGAAATTTCTCTGAAGAGAGAATTAGTGAATATGATAAAAGGACTGAAAAAAAACGACTATAATGTAGCACTGGGAGGTGAGAAGGTTGAGGATGAGAAGGCTTAGCATAAGTCTTATCAGAGTCCCAGGATGAGATAATAAAGAGACTAGAGAAGAGGCAATATTATCTGAAAGGATATCACAGATTTTTTTTTCAGAACTAATGGAAGACATAAATCTACAGATTAAGCACCAAGTCAGTGCCTGGCACATGGCAATATTAGGAGAATGTTTATTCCTTTTTCATTTGGTGGTGGGACTCTCCTCTCTACCTTCTTCCAGATTTCATAGAATGCATCTCCATACTTCTTAAATAGTTTCAAGCCTCCCAGATCTTTGATGTAGAGAGTTCAGTCTTCTAGGCAGCACTGGCTGGGGGTGACAGGGATATGACTGCAGGACAGGTTCTCCAGCTCTAAGAGCTGACCCTTGTGTGTGGTAGAGTGAGCTCAGCGATGGCATTGCAATGCTGGTGGCAGGAAATGACCGTGTGCAAGCAGTGATCACACAGATGGAGGAGGTGTGCCAGACCATTGAGGTGAGCCTGGGCTAGGGAGGGAGGAGAGGACGGAAAGTGGCTGGCCTGGAGACCCCAAGCTCCAAAGATAGTTTTTCCTCTCTGATTGCTGGTCAAATTGGCAAGACAGATTCTGGGCTCCTGGAAGTGGTGGAGTGTGCTTAGGCTGCTGGATTGAATCCCAGATCTGTTGCTCACTAGCTCTGTGACTTTGGCCCAGTTATTTAACTTATCTGTGCTTTGGTTTTGTTTTTAATTGCATAAAATAGTGATGATGATAATGATATACTGGCTGTTTCATTGGGTCTTTTTTTTTTTTTTTTTTAAGTGGTGCTGGGGATTGAACCCAGGGACTTGTGCATGCAAAGCAAGCACTCTACCAATTGAGCTATATCCCCAGCCCCTGACTGGCTCTTTTGTGAATTAAATGGAATAATGCCAATCAAAACCAAAGCCAGGGATATAGATAGCACCCAGGGAAGCTACTTTGAGATGTCATGTTATCTAAAAGATCTGGGTTGGATACTGGCCATGCCCCTAACTCAGGTATAGCCATGGTCAGGTCACTTTAATTCTTGGCTCTCTCTGAGTTCCGTTAAGTGGGGAGCAGACGAATATCCAGCTCTCCCAGCTATAGGTCTTAGCCACACCTTCCCTCATGCTCGGGGTCTTTCAGGACAACAGCCGCAGGCAGAAGCAGTTGCTAAACCAGAGGTTCGAGACCCTGTGCGCGGTGCTGGAAGAGCGTAAGGGCGAGCTCCTGCAAGCGCTGGCTCGGGAGCAGGAAGAGAAGCTGCAGCGCGTCCGCGGCCTCATCCGTCAGTATGGAGATCACCTGGAGGCTTCCTCTAAACTGGTGGAGTCAGCCATCCAGTCCATGGAGGAGCCGCAGATGGCACTATACCTGCAGGTTGGCCCCGGGGGAGGGCGGCAGCCCGGCACAGTGGCTGAAGTCAGGGGGGCATTGGCACCTGGAAACCCAAATTCAGGTCTTATCTCTTGTACCTATTTGCCCCCACGAGCCTGGCCAGGTCACTCCCTCTGCGGTCGCTTTCTCCTAACGACTTGTGACATGCACTAAACGACTTGTGACATGCACTAAACGACTTGTGATATGCATTCCCACCTACCCTACAGGACTGTGGTAAGAATCAGAAACTGGGCTTTGCCGGGGCTGGCCCAGCACTTACTCTCACCCTCTTTTTTCTTCCCTGCAGCAGGCCAAGGAGCTGATCAATAAGTAAGTAGGCTCCGCGGGAAGGGAAAGGAAGTGGCCCAGCGGATTCCTCTGGCACTGGGAGGGGCTGAGGGTACCTGGGCGTTGCCCGCTGAGCAGCTGTGGCCACCGCAGGGTCGGGACAATGTCGAAAGTGGAGCTAGCGGGACGGCCGGAGCCAGGCTACGAAAGCATGGAGCAATTTTCCGTGAGCGTGGAGCATGTGGCCGAAATGCTGAGGACCATCGACTTCCAGCCGGGTGAGGGAGCCAGGGAGGGAAGGAGGGACTGCACTTCCACAACCTCAGTATGGGGGTGAAGTAATATGATCTCCAGAACAGCAAGGACTCCACCTCAATGGCTTTCTTTCCTCCCAGGCGCCACTGGGGAAGAAGAGGATGAGGAGGTGGCGCTGGACGGGGACGAGGGCAGTGCAGGACCAGAGGAAGAGCGACTGGACGGGTCAGAAGGTGAGAGTGGCGCAGAGGGGCTTGGTGCGAGGTCTGGCTGGCACTCTCATGTTCCGTCCTCGGGTGATTGCCTTCCCAGCCACATCAGGGCTCACCGACAGCCCCCAATAAAGTGCCATCTAATCCCAATGCTACAAAAGAGCTCCCCCTAGCGTGCAGAAATTAACGCTCTTTCCCCCCATTCATTCTGGGGCTCATTCTGGAGATCGGGTTGAGTTTGCAAGAAATCCGGTGACTGCGAAAGGCAGTGAGCCGAGCTTCGGGGCTACCATTGTTCTTTGAGACACCCGCCCATCGAGCTTTCTTTGCCTGGCACAGGGCTGCACTGACCCGATCCCTGGTCGAGAGCCCACGCGCACGGAACCTGGCGCACGGAACCTGGCGCCAGCGTCCTGGAGTATCTGCACAAAGACCACCGCCGCCACCCACTTTGGCGCCAGGCGCCAGGGGAGGGCCTCAATAAAGGAATTTTGCGTCCCAGATGCGTATCTCGTTTCGCTGCCTACTCCCCCATTCAGGGCTCTGGAGGCGACCTCGCCACCAACGCGCCCTTCCCCGCCTGAGATCACTTGCGGGGCAAAAATGAAATGAACCTCTATTTGAGCACCTCCATGATGCCCGACGCGGACTCGTGAGCCCAATGACCTGGGGAGAGGGTCGAGGGTAGCATGGTGGTTGCGGGATCTCTGAATTTAGGAATTTGGGGGAGGGGGAGGTAATGGGACCCCCTAGAGACTTGACTGAAAACAGTTCTCCCTGACCTTCTCCCCATCAAGATTGGGGCCTCTCCTGCCTCTCCCACGGATTCCCTTCTGTGCTTGCCCGAGCCCCCACGACAGGAGTCAAAGGCTCTTAAGCACTTTTATTAAAAAATAGACAAGCAGAGGTGCTCAGAGCGTCTCTGGGCCACTCTGCATCGCGGGACTGGGTTAGTTCCGGTCGCGCACCTTTCAGCCTCGGGGTGGGGGAAGGGGTCAAGGTTTTCGCAGTCCGGGACTGGGCGGCTCACTTGCCCACAGAGTCGAATATGATGCGGTTTTGCTCCGCACGCTCACGTTGACTCTGCGTCCGGGCCAGCTCCAGCAGGGTCCGCAGCAGGTGGAATGTGAGGTCGATGGACAGTGGAGGGTCGTCGCGACGCGGCCGCTCGCCTGCAGTCCCGGATCCCCATCGGGTGAGCCCAGTGCGGCGCGGGAAGCGCTCTGCCAGTAGCAAGAGAAGAGCGCGAGCCCCACCACCCTGGTTCCGCGCCCCGGCGCTCCATCGAAGACTCGGGTCTTGGACCTCGGTCCCAGCTGCAGCCGCCGGGCTCCATTGGCTGCCCCCGGGACGCAGCTGGGCCAGAAGCAGCAGCGCCACCAGCAGTGCCGCGCGTCCCGCTTGCTTCATGGTGCCACCGGCCCTAGACACACGGGTTGCGCAGGGTGAGGTGCGCCTGGGACAGCCGCAGGTGGTGTGACCCTTATCAGCGCATGCCCAGCATCCCCGCCAGGACCCTCCAGCTTCTGCCCAGTGCCCCAAGTCTGCCTCCCAGCCCCAGCCGCTGCGCCAATCCAGTTCCACCCCTCTCTCCCTTCTTCCCCGCCTCCCGGAGGGCCGCGGTTGGTGGGCTGAGCATTGAGTCTTGGTGCTCAGAGAATCTAGACGGTCGCTCCCATTCACTCACAGGTTATCGGAGAGTGTCTGCCTGATACAAGACGGAGCTCCAGTCTCTGTCCCTCGGGCTGGACTGAGGGCTCCTTGGGGAGCACAGGGTCTGTCCCGGGACTGCCGCCAGCCTTATATAGCGCTAGGACAGCTCCGACTGACGTCAGCCAAGAACATGAACTGATTGTAGAAGCAATGACAGCAACTTTGAGTCCAGAGGTTTCGAGCCCCCAGAGCGGTGCATTTCTTGACATTTGACTTTGTGTCCCTAGGGCTAGCACTGGAAGCAGCATTAGATAGAATTGGAAGAGTGAGAAGCCGGCTCCTGAAGTCTGGGCCATGAAGATTGCTCTACGACCCGAGTCCTTCTCCCTGTCTAGAACAGATAGCAGAGACTAGAGCTGGTCGCCACATCACACTAACCTGGGTTCCTGGCCTCTGGCACACAGAAGGGAGGTGGGACCGTGGAGCTGTCTATGGTGCTGACCCTGTCTTTAGACGCGAAGAAACTGGCAAGAAACCTGGGGGAGAACTCTGGGATGCTCAGATCCAGCCCCTAGCCCATTATCAGGTTGTAGACTGGGGGAATCCAGAACCAGTGCTGGCACTCAGCCAACACTATAGGCAGCCTGCCACAACTTAAGTATCCCCGGACTCTTGACCTTATTACAGCCCTGGAATCTAAATTCTACAGCTGTCTGAGCACCAAATATGAGGATTTCTGGCTGGGCCATTTGTTTCTGAGTTTCTTCAAAGTGGAAGTTTAACAAATACCAGTTTTTCTCCCAGAAATCATAACAGCAGTATTATGCCTTTGCCCCTGTAGTTAAGATCAGTAGGCAGGAAATAAGAAAATTGGGTTCTCTTAGACAGGTTACCTCACTTCCACAGACCTTAGCGTCTGCATTTGTAAAAGAAGACTTGGAGGATGTAGGCTTCTTTCCATCAATAGCTATTTTTATAGTTTTCTCCTGGGTCTTACTCCTGACCTCTGCATGTTCCAGATTATGTATTTAAAACATTTACTGAAGCACAATAAAGAGTTTGAAGGGATCCCAAAGAGCACTAGGGTTGGGAAGGGCTATAGTAACAGACATGTCAATGAAAAGTTGGCATGAGTGGGAATAAGACTATGTCATGTGCCATAAACAATGTTTCAGTCAATGACAGACCACATACATAATGGTGACCCTATAATATTGTAATGGAGTTGGAAACTCCTATCCTACCACCTAGTGACATGGTAACTGTTGTAACATCACAGCACAATGCATTAATCCTATGTTTGTAGTGATGCTGGTGGGAACAAATCTACTGCATCACCAGTTGCTTTAAAGTATAGCATGTATGACTTATGTGCAGCACATAAAACTTGATAATAATAATAAAGACAATATTACTGGTTTATGTATTTACTCTACTTTATCATTATTTTATGACTCAAAGTTTTTTTTGTTGTTGTCTTTTTGGTACCAGGGATTAAACCCAGGGGTGCTTAACCACTGAATCACATTCCCAGCCCTTTTTATTTTTTGACACATGATTGCTTGCTGAAGTTGGCCTTGAACTCCTGCCTCAGCCTCCTGAGTTGTTGGGATTACAGGAATGCACCACAGAACCTGGTTTTTCATTATTTTAGAGTCTTCTCTAATTTAGGAAAAAAACCTTTATGTGGTGTTAGACGGGTAGCAATCCTCATACATCTCATATTTACCATGTCTCTTCTCTGCATCAAGAGGCCACATCAAGTGACTGATCTATACCACCTAGGTTTGTGTAAGTACACTCAATGATGTTTGCATGACAATGAAATTGCCTAATGATAGTTCTCAGAACGTACTGTTGATAAGCCTTGCATGAATGTATTATAAAGGGCTAGTGATTTTCAGAAGCAGTTTACAGTTTAAAATGAAATGTCCCATTTCAGAGTGCTCATCTCATCAAGTTTTGACCAGCACTTCCACCCCCATGGACATTGATATGCCCATTTTGAGGAGACTGTCTGACAATCCCGGGATCATGGTGAATCATTGCAGGTGGCAATGATGAAGCAAGGCAGGCTAGAACTGATGTGCTTTCCACGACAGGTAGGAGTTCCAAATGACAGCAACACACTGGACAACAGCCAACCTGGGAACAGGAATGCATTGTGAGGAGGGAGACTAGGAAGCATGGAAGGGGGAGCAATGGAATAGGACAGGGAGAGTGCAAAGGAAAAGGAGGCAGCATTCTGAGAATTTCCAGATTTGAGTCTTCTTCCTCCAGCCCCTATGGAGGGACTACGTGGCTCAGACCAGAACTAGCTCAGATTCTCATTCTCTCCCAGGGCCCTGAATTCCAGATGAAGGTCTCAACAGTTAAGAACCCAGCAGTTCTTGTCAGGCACAAGTCTGTTATTCATAACCTGTCCAGGCCCCCTCTAAATACATTTATCTGTCCATCTTGTACCAACTGAGGAGAGTCCACCTTCCAAAAAATTTGCTACCTGTGTATAAAATAGAACCTTTTCTTGTTTGCTTTTTGTAGTGCCAGGGATCAAACCCTGTGCACACTAGCCAAATGCTCTACTAGTAAGCTACATCACAAGCCTTTTAAATATTTTTATTTTGAGACAGGGTCTTATTAAGTTGCCCAGGCTGGCCTCAAGCTTGCAACCCTCCTGCCTCAGCCTTCCCAGTCACTAGGACCTTCTTTATTTTAACTTGACTTTGCTCTAGTTTCAAAGACTGCTGCAAAGGACACTTATGTTTAGGAATTGGTTTGTAAGTAGGTATTCCTTTAGCTATGCTATCCATGAAAAATTTGACCATGTCTTCTCGGAAGAGTTTCAGAGTTTTTCTGTTTCCAAGATACCTCACCTGCAAGCATTTTTAACAACTCATTTTGAGTTCCACACTATTTTTTATTGTCTCTCAGCAATGACCTTTATTATTAAAGCAAAATAATGCTTTGCAGTAAACTAACCTGACAAAGCCTTTAGGTCTACCTTTCTGTCTAACCTAGGATGCAGCACCCCAGTGAGGCACTGTCTCTGCAGATATGCCATCAAAGGTGGAGAGCTCAGGTGGGATGGAGACAAGAGTTGTAGAAGCAGGATCCTCCATAGCGAGATGATAGAAGGTCAGTGGGGGACACTCTGGAACAGTTTCTGTAAAGGGCCAAAGGTTATGAATAAAATGCTTGGAAGTCTGAAGAGTTATGACCAGAGCAAAGTATACTGGTGGAGATCTAAAGGAGGTGAAGGTTGAAATGAGAATCATTTTTTTTCCAATTGTTGGTAACATGGATCTTCCCTGAAGGGTGGGGTGGGGGTCTGTCATACCTGTAATGCAGGGGGACTAGGTAGAAGTTGGCTAACTGCACAGCAGGCCAGAGCTACAAAAAGAGAAGGCAAAGGTTGAATGGCTTCCTCCCCAACAGGACTTCCAGACTCACTGCCTCACCTGGCCCTGCCCTGACTGCTGCACACAAGAAAAGACTAGAAGTTAGTGTTTCTCTGAGCATGGGGCCTGCAGGGGGAATGAGTAATCCCAAGGGAGGGATTCCTATGCCAGGTGAACCCCAATCCCAGGGCATTTCTGGACTTAAGGGAGCAGGAAAACAGACAGAAGGGGTCAGTTCTTACATAGTAGTTGGTGAGGAGGGCATCAGGATAATCCTGAGGAGACAAAGAAGGAACAAATTCACACTTGCACCTCTAAGTGGCTGCCACCCCCCCAACATGAATATCATACACAAACTTCTGTCCCAAGAGCACACCTCTAGCCCCACACTCCCCTCCCTTCCTGGCTCTCCCTGCCTCCACGTTTTCCTGGGGTTGCCAGCCTACTAGCCACAGACTCACTTACCCTCTGTAATTTGGCCCAATTATCCTGGGCTGACAGTCCATTGAGTGTCCCCATCAATGGGAGGAAGCAGCCTAAAAAACACGGGGCAAACCCCCCCTAGGGAAGAGAAATTAAAGCTCTGTGAGTACCCCATGTCTTAACCCAGCTCAGCCTTCCCAACACCCTTTTCCTTCACTCACCTGATCCAACAACATCTTCTTTAGTGCATCCACCTTGGTGGTGCCAGGGATGAGCCGGTCCAACACCTTGTACCAGCCTCCTAGTACAGGGGCCTGGAAGTCAACCCCAGATGGGGCCACAGGATGCAGTGAGGGGGCACTTGATTTTTATACCACAAAGTTCTTCCCCCAAGTATCAGAAACCAAATCTCAGGGGAAGCATACACTGAGACACTACGAGGGCTGCAGGGTGACCTAGGTGTGACAGGCCAAGGGAAACTACAGGATGGCAAAGAACTAGACCTCTAGTGAGTTCAGTGCAGCCTTACTGTGGGCAGAACTTACCACAAAGCCACAGCCCAGGGACACCATGGTTAGGGTTCGGCCTGTCTGGTGTTCCTGCAGACCCCGCCTCTCCACCAGCTGCTGTGAGATAATGTCACCTAGGCCCATCAGGGACCCTGTGCAGGGTACACAGATGTTGTCAGGATAGCTCCAAAAATTTAAGTCTGCTGACAGAATGAGGCTCTGGCACTCTGAGCCCCAGGACTTCATTCTGGGCAAATGACTAGCCCCACCTGCTACCACAAAACCGCCTATTCTTCAAGGATGGTGACACCTCATGTATATCCTGAGTAGGCCAGAACCCAAGAACTCTGCACTGAGAGGCAAAGGGAGGTCAAGTCAGGAAACAGCAGATAGAAGAAAGAGAATTTAAGGTCCTAGGACTGAAAATCATAGACAGAATTAAAAGGGCCTACTAGATCATTTCTTTTCCTTTCTTTCTCTTTTGGTACCAGGGATTGAACTCAAAGGCACTTAACCGCTGAGCCACATCCCTAGTCCTTTTTTTAAAAAATATTTTTTAGCTGTAGATGGACACAATACCTTTATTTTGTTCATTTATTTTTATGTGGTGCTGAGGATCAAACCCAGTGCCTCGCATGTGCGAGGCAAGCACTCTACCGCTGAGCCACAACCTCAGCTCGGTATCCCTAGTCCTTTTTATTTTTATTTTGAGACAGGATCTCACTGGGTTGCTTACAGACTCATTAAGTTGCTGAGGCTGGCTTTGAACCTATGATCCTCCTGCCTCAGCTTCCTGAGTCACTGGAATTACAGGAACGCACTACCACATCCAGCCTAAAAGATCATTTAATCCAAACTCCTTATTTTATTTAATACTTATCATTTGCTAAGTTTAAACTGAGTTAAAATAACATTACTTTATTGTGTAAAGTTATTTTCATCTATATTTTTTATTTTAAAGTAAGTATTAGCAAAATGCAACATGGGAATATAAAATAAAAGCCACCCACCTCATGGTCACCTAATAAAACCCATCTGATCCCAAATCCATTATTTTAGAGGTAAAGAATCAAAGGTCTACCATCTCAAATAACCTGTAACTGAAGAGGCAAGCCAGAACGAGGAGGCTTATATGTTCTTTCTAGGACACTGTACTACAAATAGATCATGTATAGAATAATAAAGAACCCTGTTTCTTTCTCCCTCTGCCCAATGCAAGACTTAGCCCACAGCCTTCACCTTGGTCTTGGGATCTCTATTTGCAGAACACAGCAAGGATAACTCTTTTCTAAGACATTAGTGCTCAAATGGTCCTGGGTGGGAAAATGATTGAACTGAAGGAGTTCCCAACAAGAAAGAGTCCTGGCCACCTTAGCACTGTCAAACCCAGACTTCTCCATTTGTACCCTCAGACTGAGTTGGCAATGGGTATTAGAGCCATTTCTCCCCAGGCCTCTGCTTCTGCTTCCCCCTTAATTATACAGACACTCCGATCCATGCAGCCCCAGTGAGACATCCACACTCAAAAACCAAGACAGAATCATCATTGTTTACAGAGCCCCCATCAGTTATGATGGCGTGATGGTTTCTAGCAAACACACACTTATAGGGGCCGCTTGGGATTGACCATCTGATCTCCAGCTTGCCCATCTCTCTCACTGAGTAATGAAAGTCCCCTCCAGCCACAAAGCCACCACTGTCTCTATGCCCTCAATTAGCACTGGGCAAACACATCCTGCAACCCTGTTCCTTGGCCTGGAACTGGCTCTGACGTCCATGCTGGCTGCGTGCTCAAGGCTCTGCTCTTCTCTACCACCCTCTGCACAGCCCTGCCCTAGCAGCCTGGTCAGAGGCAACAGGGGAAAGCTGGGGGCTAGGGCTGGGGACAGGCATCCCTAGATGATCTGGGCTGCTGACCACTGAATACCTCTGGTCCCCAAGGTACAAACTATTTCAGATCAAGGCACCCCTGAAACTTTCAGTCATTCTTCCCAGAATACTGGTAGACATAACCTCCTCAAGGGCAAGCACAAAATCCTAGACACTTTTGTTTTCTTATTCCTCACCATACTTAACAGAATCCCTGGCAATTGTACAGAAATACATAAAGGAAAAACGTCAAAAGCATGATCCCAAACAACAGGACTGCTCTGGGAAAGGGCATGAAGATCCACGTGTTGGAATCAAGGTGTAAAAACCACAGGGAAGTGAGGGCTTGCTCCCTGCTCTCAAGTAGTGAGCATTTAATTCACTATGCCTTCCCCCAATGTGGGGGCACTGGCTGTGCTCCCAGGAAGGACAGGGAGTTTCTGCAGCCATGCATAAAGGGAGAAGTGACCCTGGGAAGACCAAAGGCACTTCTTCAATGAAGGCACTAACAGTCTGACAGTGGACTTTGGCCAGATGGTTACAGATAACAATGAATGCTCACATAAATCTCACAAAAGGTCTGGAGGTAGACGGTCACACATCCAACTAAGGTGTGTGACTCAGTAAGGAATAGAACTGGGACAAAGCCAGGCCAGGAGAGCAAGGAGGCCAGCATTCCAAGTAGAAGCTGAGACAGGCTTGGAGGTCAATGGGCAGCCATGGGCTCCTGTGGCTGCTCCTCTGCAGTGGTTCCTGTCCAAGCAAGGTCCCAAAGAGTTTACATATAAGAAATGCTTCCTGGGGCTGGGGATGTGGCTCAAGTGGTAGCGCGCTCGCCTGGCATGCGTGCGGCCCGGGTTCGATCCTCAACACCACATACAAACAAAGATGTTGTGTCCGCCAAAAACTAAAAAATAAATATTAAAAAAAAAAAAAAGAAATGCTTCCTAAACGAATGCATTTCCTGTTCTTACTCTCCAGTATTCAGCACCTTTGTTCCTTGTCACCTTGTGGGGAGGGCAGGCAGCAATGCTCCTGGGGAAAAAAATTGTTAAAGAGAGGTATATATTTCCACTCTTCATGACTTGCTGACAGTCATCTGACAAGCTAAAGGCAGAGTTGGAATGAAAGTCCAAGTTCCTGAGCCCATAATCATGGGAGCCCACAGCCATAGAGAAATATGGATTCTAGGCCCCAAACTGTGCACATCAAGTCCGAGGGACTACCAAGCGACATGGCAACAACAGAAATGAGTAGGCACTATGGCTGTACAGCCCCTTCCAGGTCTTTCAAATAGAACAGCACCCAGAAATTCATCTTCTGCCCACAGATGATCAGGGACCTGGACCTACCTACAGCAACTCCAGCATGGTCTAAGGCTTTGGTCCAAACAAAGAGAAAGACCTACATTTATGGCTCAAGTGACCCTTTGAGCAGGAAGGAGTCAGATATTCAGATTCCTCATTTCATCCTTCTCAACCCAAAGCCCCAACAGACCCCAAAACCCCAGGCTCTGGGAGACCCGAGACATATTTTGCTAGTTTTGAGCTTCTATGATCTGGCTCCCTACTCCTTGGTCTTGGGATTTGGGACTAGAGGGCTGCAGGCACATAATGCCCAGAGCCCTGATGGGGCAGGGCAAGGGGCTGCTGGGCCGTGATGCCCAAATGCCAGAGCTGGGCACAGAGCCCAGCTAACAGATGCTGGTGCAGGTGTGACATCATGCCCTTGGGTAAGTGCCAGTTCTCATGCCGTCACTCCCTGCTAGAACCAAGGGAAGGAGGTAGGAGAGCCTATCTCTGGGCATAGATCTACTTGGGGTCATCCCCTGCCCATTAGTAAAAAAGTCCCAACTTCCACACCTTCTTCCAAGGTATATTTTGTTCCTCCACTGGCTTTTGTGTTGAATCTTATGTACAAGAAAATAAAGCACTAATGGAAGATGAGAAGACAGGGGGACAGGAAGTAGCTTCTTGGAGTGAAAGTGTGCCCTTGAGCACAGGAGGCTGGGTTGGCAGATAGACACTACTGGCAGGGGGCCAGCAGTACTGCCTACTCAAAAGCTTCCTTAACTACCTCCCTGGCTGGGGTAGGGACTTGACCCTGGGTAGGACAGAGTACATCATCTGGGATGGGTCTGAGGGCTCTCCTCACACCTGGCCTTAGCCCACCCTTCTGCTGGAAAACAAGACAAAGTGGATGGTTCTGATGCTTGCCAGATGTCTAAGCTCAGACCAGCTGGGACAGCACTCAGCATCCTAAGGACCCCATAGTCTCAAGTGCAGGGCAGTGCAGTAGGTAGTACTCTAGGTTCTAATGACAGCCCTACAGTGACCATATAAGACCTCAGCACATGTCACTCCCTACTCTTGCCTTAATTTCCTCTTCTGTAATATTGTGGGTAGGAATGGTCTTTAAGGCCTGTTGAGCTCTCACATCCTGGCTTAAGTCAGACTTCAGGGAAACCAGGGTCTACAGGAGCTCAGTTGCTCTCATAGTAGTACTAGGGTGGCCTAACATGAACAGAACTGGGCCCCGGGCCCACTGGAGACTGGAAGGGCCCTCAAGAAAGAAAGGGATAAGGCTGACTCAGACTCTACAGAACATGCAGCCAACCTTTCCCTAGGCTGCCCTGTTCCTGACTCTGGCTTGGCCAAAACTGGTGTATTAGACACTTCCGTTGAACTATTTCAGATCTTGGCTCACCTATCTCTTGGTCCAGCCATCACTGTAGTTCAACCTAACAGACCCTTGCTTCGGGCCCATGCCATACCTGGGGACTCACTGTTAATGTCTTCAGTGACTATGCTTGTGTAACCTGGTAGTGGAAGGGGAGCTAACACTTCCTAAGGTGACACTTTGGCCAATGTGAGATTGGAGCTAGGGAATAAAGTTCTCTTCTTTTCTCCAAAAATGACTATTCATCCAGACAGTCCTAAGAAGCATTTCAAAGAGGTTCTTAGTTCCAAGAGATTGAGCCACAGTGAACAGAATAGTGGACAATTTAACAATATATCCTTATTCTGGTTCTCCCTCTTTTCCTCTGTGGGATTATTTTCTACTCCCTAACAAAGTACCTGCACATAAGTTTTCTGCTCTGCTTTTTGGAAAACCAAGGCTAACATACTATTCATGAACAGATTTATGGCAACTGGGACAAACTCAACCCACTATAAAAAGAATGGCTTGTTGTGCTTGGGTTGACTCATAGAAAGGATCAAACCCCTTGAGCCTTGAAGTCTGTTGTGGATTTTTAAAAGAATTCCACATTGATAATCCTTACACTGACCCTGTGAAGTCCTAAATCCCTTAAAAAAAAGAAAAAAAAAAAAAAAACCAACTCTGTGTTAAGGGCTAACTTTAAATAGATCAACTCAAGTTCTAAATGAGGAAACTGAGGCCCAGTGAAGTTTATTGGCTTGTGCTAATTAAAGCAGTTATAAAGTACTATGGTTCTGATTTTCATATCTTGGTCTTTTTAACTCCAATTCTGAAATCTGTTTTCCAGTGTGATGAGCTAGTCCATGGGACCTTAGGAACTAATTGTGCTGGGGTCCAAATATGGCTCAGTGAGCTAAACCTACTTCCCATCTTCATTTATAATTTGGTCCCAATATACCTAGCAGCAGGGATAGACTGCAAGTTTGGGGAAATTTAAGAAAAGTGCTAGGAAGCTTCAGATTGTTTCAGGAATGAGTTGTCAGCATAGATTCAGGAAGATTGAGGTTGTGAAGCCAAAGGACTCTAATACCACCACATTTTTGCATTTGGGACCCTTTTCAGCTTTAGCTCCTGTCCTTGTCAGCTGAAAATTCACTGGGTATGGAAACACAAAGGCTATCATTCCTTCCTCTCTATTCTTGATGACCACAAGGGGGAATCTTCTATCTGGCAGTTATGGGACCTGAGGGAATTTGAGGCTGGGCAAAGGGCCCAGCGTGTCAGTTCCCATCACAGCCACACAGTCCAGCATGAGTCATGCAGGCTGATGAACACTCTGAGGACAGGACAAGAGGTCTTTGGGCAGAGGAGGCTGAAGAGAGGCCCAAGGAGGGGCAAAAGAGTCCATCCTTCTCTTGGTCAGTCACACAGAGAAGTTGCAAATTTTTATTTGAGTAATAGGATACCAGTTCCATCTTAACTTTCAGTAGTGCCCTATCCCTTCTAAAACTCTTTCTTCTCAGAATCCCACAGTCCTCACATAGGCAAGGCCTCATCTTACCCTGATCACTGTTTGCACTGCCTGATATTTTCCCTTCTAAAGCTTATCTCTGTGTTATCTCCTTGCGTTAGCTAATCTGCAGAAAGAAGATAGTAACAAATGTAGGGATATCCTTGGGTTACCTTCATGAAGTTGCTATCCAATCACTGGATTAGAGTAAAAAATCCTTGGTTAGAACGGTATTTGGGGATATACACATAGGTAATAAACAGTAAGAAAAGCAAAAGAACGATATAAACAAAACTCAGAGTTCTCATGGAATACCTGAATTAGGGAGAGTGCCACAGAAGATGCCAAAGCTGAGTACTGATACAGGAGTGATCAGTTTTAGTATAATGTAAACTTCAAATGTATATATTTATTCTGGCGCATATTTCACAATAAAAATGCTAAGAAAAATAAACTGGAGTCTTGATATCAGCACTTACTGGGTATGTAATCTAATCTGGAGTCAAGTAATTCTAACTCTGAGCTTTATGGAGCCCCTGTGGTACGATGCATATGAAAGTGCTTTGCATTCTATAAAATGTTAAAGGAGGGGCTGGGATTGTGGCTCAGCTGTAGAGAGCTTGCTTAGCACGTGGGAGGCCTTGGGTTCGATCCTCAGCACCACATAAAAATAAATAAAATAAAAATATTGTGTCCAGTTACAACCAAAAAATAAATATTAAAAAAAATTTTTTTTTAAATGTTAAAGGAGTGTTTTAGTTTTCCAAGCGGGTTTTCCTGTAGCAATGTTTTTATCCTTGAGATCAACTGCTCAGCTTTTTGAGAACTTTCGTATCCTACTTTACAGTTAAGCCAATTATGCATAACCCGTTAGAATAGCTTTGGGGACTCGTACTGACAGAACAGATTGAGATGAGAGTCAACACTTCCGGGAGGCTAAACAGAAGCAGGAAATAAGGACAGTACCTTGGAACGCACCCTTCTCCCTAATCAGCCTGCTCTGTTCCCACTTTGGTTCCCAGACACTCACCAGCCGTCAGGACCTGGACTTTCCACGGGTGAGCAGCCAGGGCCCTTTGGTACGCCCGCCAGAGTGCCATGCCTTCTGTCAAGTCAAGAGGAAAGGGTCACTCCCACTGCCCTACCCACGATGAGAAAGACACCTGACATTTCCCTCGCACCCACTCCCTCTTTCCACTTCTGATACATCGGGAAGGGGCAGAGGCTTCCGAAGGGATGATTCCTGACAGTGTCGCCTTAGACAAGTGGAGAAGAGGCAGACTGTGCAGCTATGGACACCTAGTGGCAGCCAGCCCTAGTTCTGAAACAGGGCTGGGTGGGTGTCTCCAGCCCCGGCCGAAACACTCAGAGCAGGCTTTTTCTAGCTTTCACTTTGAGCCAGGGTCCTCCGAAAAGGAGACCCGACAGACTCCAGATTCAGACTTAATTGAATTAGCCCGCATTCCTCCCGAGTGCAATTCCAACTGGAAACAGGAATGGGCCTGGAATGGTCACGTGCCCTATGGGGCACTGCAGGTGCGCGGCGCTGGGAACCAGCGACTGTAGATCACCAGCCACTCACCTGAACCCTAGCTCTGCGCGCCGCAGGGCCTCCCGCGTCACCTGAGACAGCAACTTCCGCCGCAAGCACCGCCCCTTCCGCTCGGCGTCCTGTGAGCCCTTGCAGCAGGCGCAGGACTGGAATGCCACCGGGCCACGGAATCCCATGGAGAGCATCTCTGCTGGGTCACCCACTCTGTGAGCAACCCCCTCCGGGGGACAGCGCCGAGCGTTAGCATGGGGTTCGCCAGCCATTCTGCCCACGAGGTTCGACCTCTGCCTCGTCTCTCAAGCCCCGGCTTCTATGGGGTCTTGAGGGACCCCGCTTTACCGCCCACAGGGCTTTCGCAGAGCTGGCCAAGGTCCTGACGTCCTTCTTAAATCTCAGGAGTGGTATTTTGGAAACAAGTATAGTTCAGTGCGAACGTGCGTTATTTTTTGTCTCTAGGTTCTTCATTAGCCTAGCTCCTGAGTGGGGAGAACTAGAACTGTTCAGATTTGTCGTCTTCATAACTAGTTGAGTGTTTTGATCACAAAGTCCCTTTTGGAAATGCTGCGTAAGGATGACTTCCATGGAAAGCACGGGAATTACAGAACTTCTGGAATTAGTTTAGGTACTAACACGCCTTGATCCTTACTAGACTTGCACTTCAGTTTCATCATCTGTAAGAATGATGGGGTTACACTGTTTGAATCAAACTGGGATCCTCAGTTCTAGGGGATGTTTATGGGGTGGGGGATGGGAGGAAGATTATCACTAGATTCTTCTACCTAAAATGTTTTGTTCTTCAAAATATATACTTCTAGAAAGTTATTTTTAACAAAGGGATTCATGACTATTTGGAAACCAATAGGGAAGGTGATCTTTTAATCCCCTTCCAGCTCTAACATTCTAAGATTTTGTGAAAGTAGTGTAGAATTCTTCCTAGGGTGGTGGGAATTTCTACAATATGCCTGGCAGGGAATTCAGCAGGCTGTGCCTTTGCTTATCTCCAGGTAGCTCACATTTCAGGAGGCAGACTTGCAAACTCTCTACCTGCCTACCTCCAGGCCCGGTTTACTCAATTCCTATGATTAAAGCAGGGGAATCCTCTCTCAAACACCGGAGAAACAGAGTAAGGATGCAAGAAAACTCAATGTTACAAACATTTAACCAAAAGCTTTCTATATACAAAACACCATGGTAGAGTGAGCTTACACTAGCAAATTTAATAGGAGACTAAATATGGTAGTTTGGGAAGTTATATTCTCAAGTCAGACTGACTGAGTCAAAATCTCAGCACAAGTACTTTGTAGTTACCTGACTTGTTCAGATTGCTTAACCTCAGAAACTAATTTTTAAGTAAAACAGCAATACCAGACTGGGGTTGTAGCTCAGTAGTAGAGCACTTAGCTAGCATGTGTGAAGCACTGGATTTGACCCACATAATAAAGCCATTAAAAACAAAAACAACAACAAAACAGCAATACCTACCTTACAGGACAGAAATATGCCAAGTACCCAAAATATGAGTGCTTAACATTTATCTTTTTTCCTCCTTTCTTGGAAACACATGGGAAGAATGTTTTTTGTTTTTTTAAACGGAAACTCCTTAGTCAGGGTGAAATTTCAACTTTTTTTTTTTTCCAAGCAGTACTGGGGATTGAACCCAGGGCCTTGCACATTGCTTAACTCTTGCTCCACCCCCAGAGCTACACCCCTGAGCCAGGATCTTGAAGGATGAATAGATTAAGTTGGAGACAGAAATGACAGTACTAGAGAAGGCAATAATGTGAACAAAAACACGAAGATAAAAAGGTGCAGGAATGGAGTATAAACTATATATATTGAAAGGATAGGTTAGAAATTAAGTGGCCTAGAGACAGTGTTTATGGGAAAGAAAAAGATCAAGACCTGAAAGCATCATTCTTATTTTCTTTTGGAGGTTGAGATTAGGGCTGACACTCAACAGCAGGAGCAACTATGGCTGGCACCAACCTACAACCTAACTGTATGTATCACCACGTCCCACATTTTCTATTACTGGAAATAGAAAAGGGGCTGCTGAATAGCATCAAGAGGTTGCTCTGTAGAGCAAAGCTTCTCTTAGTGCAAGGCACTTTCCTGTCAGCTCAAAAAGCAAAACTGGTACAACTTGAGTTGGGTTACAATAGGATGGTGCACACTTGGTGCCTCTGCACTGATGTGAGTTATGATTCCTTGGCTGCTAAGGAACCTGGGTTTTCTGTTTTTCTTTTGTATAGGACAGGGACTGAATTACTCACTTGATTGCCTTCTTAAAGGTTTTCTGATATATGATAAATTGACTAAATTAAACAGGAAGAAATTTGTTCCCAGATATATGACCAGTTTGGAGCATCAGAGGTCTTTGTTTCAGGAAGACACTAAGCTCTACTCCTTCCAACAGGCTTCCCCCTCCCCATTCCTTTAGGTCATCTAACTACTTCCCTCCAAACCACAGCCATTATTCCTATGCATCTTAAGTCTATGGTTTTCCTATTCTACCTTGCAGGGATCAATTTGTGCTTAGGAGGCAATATCATAGTCACTACAAGTCTACAGTATCCCACAAGAGGACTCAATATCAAGATAATACATTACTGTACTTATTATGTTCTAAACACTTCCTATACGTAAAGTTTAAATAAACGTTTTTAATAAGTCAACAATGTGACCATATCATGAAGGATCAAGAATCATGACGTGTAAAAGAATGGTTGAAATAACTGAAGATATTTAATCTAGAGGAAAAATACTTGGGAAACACATGATAGCTATTGTTAAATACTTAAAAGGGCAATCACAGGGAAGAATGTCTAGATTTCCTAATACCCATAAGTAAAATTAATAAGAGGTATACTCTGACTTGATATAAAGGAAGATTTTTAAAACACGACTGTCTAGGAGTGTTCAAGTAGGGTCAAGTGACCAATGATCAGGAATATTTCATAAGCAGGAGCAAGTAAGAGCTAAGCCACTGTTCTACTGGTAGGGTGTTTGTGGTGTTCTCCAGTTAAAGAAGTACTATGAGCAGCTTCAGTCCAATAAATTACTGTCACTCCTCTTGGGCTTATGTGTTGGTTACTCTAAAGAGGAAGTTTGGGAAGGCAGTAACATTGGATCCTCGAAGACAGACAGAAGCCTTCATGCAGATAAGTCTTTGTGATTCTCCAAACACCCACTCACAAGTGGTCTCAAAAACACCCAGTACCTTTACTTAGCTTTACCCACTTCACAATATGCTCAATATGAGCAATTGGACTCCCAAGCCTATGTTAGGCCTGAGTGTTACTTGTGAGCCATAGTTTTAGGCTTAAAAGCCTTTGTGGGGGGAGAGCCCCCCTGCCCGCAGGGGACTGTGACCATAGAAGTCAGTAGAAGGAGAGGGATCTAAGGAGTCCTGGGGAAGCAGTACTAAAGGTCCAGTCCTAGTGCCATCACTGTCCAGGAAGGCCCCAGTTCCTATGGCTCTGCGCATGGAGGCCATTTGTTCTTGGCAGATTTCATTCCAAGGGTCCTGTGTGGACTAAGACTAAGGATTGGACAGAAGGCGATGACTGGCTGGAGGGAAGCTGGGCCCTTTAGTTGGGGAGGATGATTGGAACATAGCACTGAAGTGTGCTCGGCTTTCAAGCTGCATACGGTGGCCCAGTGGGGAGGTGAGTCCACGGACAAAATGGATCCGAACCAGCCCTGACTGCCCCCCAGATACCAGCCATCCATAGGAGTCCAGGTTTGGGCTGAAACGTACCTATAAGAATAGAAAACAAGAGAGAGGCTCACAGGTGATGTTTTAGGGCAACTCTTAGCTCTGTAAGCAAAAAAAAAAAAAAGTCACAATCTGAGAAGGCAGGACTATAATGGGGTGAGAGAGGTAGGAATAAGAAGCCAATGAATGAGGTATGTCTACTATATTCCAGAGGAGGTTGCCAAAGCTACTTCTCCTCATTAACCATCTATATTGCCTTTTTATTTCCCATTTCATTGATCACAGACCCAAAGTTGGGGAAGAATGAGTGGAGGGTGGGGAAGATGAGACAAGGTTCTTACCTTATGAATAGCCTCTAGCTGCAACCTGTCCAGGCACAGCTGAGAATGCCCTTCTCCTTCCTGCATGCGCAGCATCGGTTCTCTATGGAGCAAATTGTGGAAGGAACCCTGGGGATGGAAGTGGGACAGGAGAGAGAAAGCAAGCAGCTCCTTAATTTTGCATGTTTGTGATGGAACTCCTTAGGATTTCCTATTATACAAGGACTAAAGTTTTCTACCTTTTCTAATACTACACCCTATTTTCCTGGACTTGACTTACCAAATCTGTGTCTTGAAAGAGCAAGTAGTGATGGTTGACAGTTTCAGCATAAGTTCGAGCTGTGGGAGGATTGGGGACCCCAGATAAAGCAGAAGAGTGGTCTTGACCTTCAGGACTGTCCTGATATGGCATCAGATCAGCTTTATATATAGGCTAAAAAGGAGACCATAAGATTAAGTTGTATAATGCTGAAGACAGAGCTGGCAGCAGTGGCACATGCCCATAATCCCAGCTACTCAGGAGGCTGAGGCAGGAGGACTACCAAATTTGAGGCTAGCCTGATCAACCTGAAGAGACCCTGTCTCAAAATTTAAAAAAGGGCTGTGAAGTAGTTCAGTGGTAGAGTGCTTATTTAGCATGTGTGAGGGCCTGGGCTCAATTCCCTGTACCAAAAAAACAAAACCCCCAAAAATCTGAAGATAGAACAAAAGTAGAGGAAATTGGTTAGAGGCAGGAAAGTCTTAATAATGGAAAAAAGTAGTATGTTTAAATATATGCTCAAAAATAAATAAATAAATGCTCAGCTGAAATAGAATAAAAAAGATTAGGGCTGGGGTTGTGGCTCAGCGGTAGAGCGCTCGCCTAGCACGTGCGAGGCCCTGGGTTCAATCCTCAGCACCACATAAAAATAAATAAACAAAATAAAGATATTGTGTCCAGCTACAATTAAATAATAAATATTAAAAAAAAAAAAAGATTGAACATAATTCTGTGCCAAGACTTTCAGGGACAATGTCAGGGCTTGGAGACTAAGTACTAATTTGTATTCTACAAGGAATTGGGAGGGCAAGTGGTTAAGATCCAACAGACGGTGTTGCTGTTAGATGTTCATATACATACAAATCTTCGCTCTGCAGGTCGCTTGACATTTATTGGGTTCGATGCCATATCAGGCAATATAGCTGCAATGAGTTCCCCAGATATATCTCCTGCAGCTATTGTCCCAAGCCAGTCAGATCCTGAAAGACTCTAATAAGAAGAGACAAATTTCATTAACTTACTCATTTCTATGAACTGATAATAAGTCTACAGTCAGAGGACAGAGAGAATGCAGAAACAAAACTGAGTTTACCATAACCCATGTCCCTGATGATACAGTTGCCATATATCTGAATTCTCCTTCTCCCCAAAACCATTGTCACTTCCTGACTACCACTAAGGAATAATAATAATGACTATCCTTCTGTGTAATGAAGACTGCAGAAGACAGGCTCACCCAAACAGTGCCTTTTCGAGGAGCTGTGAAGTAGGCCTTGAAGCCAAGATAACCAGCATCAATATAATGAATTCCACAAAGTCCATAACTGTATGAGAAAGAGAAATAAAATAAAACCTTCCTTTTTTAAGATTAGATTAATATCTTCTCAATTCCTTCCCAAAATCAAACTGCCTCAGCAAACCAGCTCAACGTATCTCTCCCCACAACAATCTTGCATGCCATGCAGCCCAACCCTTAGGGTCTGGCCCCAGAGTTCTTCCTATCTCCATCTTGCCGTACGAGGCATAGCAGTTGTCCTGAGCCACAGTGACACCATTGTAGGGGACCAGCCAGGCTAGCTCTGTACTCAAGAAGCGCTTGATAGAATTTATTGGTTCATAAGGTCGTCGAAGGTCCCAGAATTTGATTTTCCGATCACTTCCCGCGGAGACTAGGAAATGACTGTAAAGATGGGAGAAAATCAAAGCTAAACAAACCTGGAAGAGTTAGCCTGCCACAGTTTTCATCTTCCCCCTCCACAGATCTTCTATTCTATACCTGTTAGCTTTGCACCACTGAAGTGTACGTACAGCTTGGTCATGGGCTAGGAAACACTGGAAGGGGTAGAGCTTTAAGGAGCCATCAGAGAGCCGTATCCGCTGAAGGGGCGAGTTAGTGGGAAGGTTCCAGAAAACCACCATGCCTGAAGTAGGAATAGAATGGGTAGGCATTAAAGGCACTTTCTCACTACTTTGTTCTAATTTCTTTCTCTGGGGTCCTAGGACCCTGGTCCTCTAACCTCAGATGCAAACTGCAATGGAAGAATGTAAGGATCATAATAAGCTATTCAATACACCCCTCTATGGTTTTAAGACTCAGTCTGACATTTTTGTTGCAATTTTCATCAACAAAAAGTAATAGCATAGCCTGGAATCTGCAGTTGAGAGATAGGCTGAATGTTCTTAATAACTCTACTGCCTATTAAATCAAAGTAAAGAGTTTTTTTTTTTTTTGGTTGTAACTAGACACAATATCTTTATTTTATTTATTTATTTTTTATGTAGTGCTGAGGATCGAACCCAGGGCCTCCCACGTGCTAGGCAAGCACTCTACTGCTGAGCCACAATCCCAGCCCCAAGAGATTTTCTTTAAAAGAAGCATAAATACTCTAGGAAAGGGTTGGTATATTAGAGCTCAGGGGTCAAATACAGCCGGCTGCCTGCCTGTTTTCCCTAACAGTTTTTTTTTCTTTTTTTAAATATTTTTAGTTTTTAGTTGTAGTAGTTGCACACAATATCTTTATTTATTTATTTATTTTTATGTGGTACTGAGGATTGAACCCAGGGCCTTATATGTGGTAAGTGAGCGCTCTACCACTGAGTCACAATCCTAGCCCCTTCCCTAACAGTTTTACTAGAACAGTCACACCCATTAATATACCCAATGTCTATGGCTGATTCCATGTTATAATTTGCAGAGTTGAGTTTCTAACAATGGTCAGCCTGTTTACAAAGCCTAAAATTATTACTACCTGAGTCTTTACAGAAAATATCTGCCAGCCAGGCATGGTGGTGCATGCCTGTAATCCCAGCAACTTGGGAGGCTGAGGCAGGAGGACAGCAAGTTCAAGGCCAGCCTTAGTAACTTAGCAACCAAGAGCCTATCTCAAAATAAAAGATAAAGAGCTGGGACTGTAGCTCAGTGGCAGAGTGCCCTGGGTTCAATCCCCAGGAGATATATATATGTATATATATATATAAAACATATATATGTATATATACACATATATGTATATATATACACGTTTATATATATACATATATGTATATATGAAAATTATCTGCCAACTCTGGTCTAAAACAAGAATAGACAAGGAGACAAAAGCAACAAAATGTGGAGGAAAAGAAAACAAATAGACAAACAGAAACTAATTTGGCAGACCCCAAATAAGCTGACCCTTGACAATGCTGGCAAAGGAAAAGGTACTCAAAAGTATAACTCTGATAAAAATAAAAGACAAAGAAATAAAAATCGTGAAAATAAAAACTGGGAAAAATATTGGTAATTAAAACCCATTTTATATGTAAACTCAGGGAATGTAGCACCCACGAATCTTTCTCAAGAAAAAATTGACAGTGATTTATAGGTAAGTAATAAAAATAATTCAGTAATGACAGGGAGACAATCATTAAATCACTTAGGAATTAAGATACAGAATAGCATGAAGCAAGTTCATTAACAACTTAAGAATACTTTCACAGAAGAAAAACAGAAGATGGAAAGAGGGATAGTAAAGGAAGTTCAGTGCTAATTTTCTTATCTTCCTAGAAGAAAGTATACTGAGGATGTCTGAATAGGAAATTGTTATTTAGAAACAGCTAATAATTCCAACTTAATGTTATTCATCATCTTTTTTCTTCTTTTTTATTTTTATTTTTTTGATACTGGGGATTGACCCCAGGGTGCTTAACCACTGAGCCACATCCTCAGCCCTTTTTACATTTTACTTTGAGACTTGCTAAACTGCTGAGGCTGGCTTTGAACTCTCCATCTTCCTACCTCAGACCTCCAAGTTGCTGGGATTACAGCTATGTGCCACTGTGCCCAGTATTTTTTTATTTTTTATTTTTAATCTTAAAAATAACTTTGAGGAACTAATGTCTCCTGTGGTGAAGAAAGATTTATTAGGAGTTAGCTAATCTTTCAGCTCAATTTCAGTGTCTTTTTTAAAATAAACTGTAGTTAAATTTAATACCTTCAAATTTAAAGTAGCTTATATAGTATGAGCTCATTTTTTATAAAATCGTCTTTCTTTTAATCTTTGTATATGCATAAAGAACTGTATGAAATTATGTTCATCTACTCTTATTTTTTTCTGATTAGAAAAATTCTATTCAAAAATGTATCTCTTTTTTTACATTTCTTGAATATTTGTAATTATACATAAAATGCCCAGTTCTGAACCAAAAAGCAAGCATATATGACAAATTTAAAGAGCAATAGCACGCGCGTGTGCGCGCGCGCTCTCTCTCTCTCTCTCTCTCTCTATATATATATATATTTTTTTTTTTTTACCATTATAATATCCAGCAGCCAGGTGGTGGTGGGGCCTGGTGGGCATCCAGGCCAGGCTAAGGCACTGACCACACTCAGAGGGATCTGAAGCTTGCATAGATCCCACCTGAAGGGTTGCCACACATTGTACCTGAAGGGACAGAAGAGAATGGGATTAGGGTTAGGGGTACCTACTGTTTATAACAAGGGCTCAAATTAGTGTTTAATTTAGCAGGAGGGGGTACTTTTCAGAAATAGGGGACACACTGTGGAATTAATAAGATAAGGCTTTAAGAAGATGGAGTTTCAGCTAAGGTAGCAGGTTCCTCACTCACCTTATAGATGGCGGGCTTCATCGCATCTGTGAGGGAAGAAGAGCAGTAGCTGATGCTTTGGATCCACAAGTCTGAGCTTCTACTCAAGCCTTGCTCTGAGATCAGGACCCCATCCATGCTTTGGACAATGACCTTCCCACGTCATTTATTCAGAAATTTCTTTTCCCACCATCAACTTTCTGACCCTACCTCCATCTGCCCCCATCTTCTTTCTTTCTTTCTTTCTTTCTTTACAGTTGACAGTACCCTTCCTCCTATCAAAACCATAATCCTTCCACTCTGGTCTCATCCTCTCTCACCATTTCCAGAACTTTGCTCATTTGGTTATTCTTCCTTTCTTCTGCATTATCCACTTGCTCTCCACCTACTGGGTCATTCCCACATTCCCATGTAAATGCCCTATAGCCTCTTCTATAAATAAATAGACAAAACTTTCTTTTACCCTTTAATCACCCCAGCCAGCACTCTCAATTTTTTGTTCCCCTTCATAGTCAAATTTCCTAAAGGAATTGTCTACAATGACTATCTTCATTTACTCACTTTATATTTCCTCCTCAACCCACTTCTCTACCAGACCAACAAATATGGGACCTTCTCAGGGCTCAAACCTAGGTGCCTTCTTCTTTAAATACTCAGTACTATTGAAATACAAATAGAAGCTATCTTTCCTTGACCTATTCCTCTGCTTTCTCAGCTTTAACTCTAATTCTTTCCCTCTCCTCACAGTCAAAACCAGGCTGTGCATGTGTACGTGTGGGAAGTGGGTGGTAGTGGTGAGGGCAGGAGGGATGAAGTCAGAGGGGAGATGAGCCCCATCTGTCAGCCTCAGCTTTTAGCAGCTCTTTACACAGCCAATTAGGGGATGAAGCAAAAGGGGGAATAGCCTAAGGATAAAGAAGAATAGCTTAGAGGGTAAGAGAGGAGCTAATGTGCTAAAAGACTGCAGTTACGAGCCTGAAAAAGGAAAAGCAAGCTCAAGAACAAATGAGAAGTCACAGTGGGGGTTTGGACATGAGTAAGTAAGACTTTGTGCTAGAGACTGAACCCAGAGGAGTTTCAGGGGAAGTGGGTATGCCCTATGAAGCTCTGGCCATTGCTACTGCAGCCCCATTCTCCTTGCTGAATTACTTACCTGGGGGTTGCTGAGCCAGCAGGGCCTCAGGATGCGGCAGACTGAATAGCAGCACCTTCCCATCTGAGCAGGCAAGAGCCAAGAGACCCAACCGAGGCAGGAGAGGAGCCTAGAGGGCAAGACCAGATCTGTGCTGAGGCTTGCTGCCTTCAGGAGCCTCTCAGAAAACTTTTGAGGTTCTGGTCCCTGGGATACGACACAGAGTTGCTGGAAAAACACTGTCTACCACACTCCAACCTTCTTTCCTCCAATGCTGAGAACTCCCAGAGTCCCTATTTCCTAGCTACAAGTCCCATGGCCAACTCATAGTCAACTGGGAAGTACCTTTCGAAGGGTGCCTGGAAGTTCCCATGCTCCACTGGGGCAGAATTTGAGGTCCCAGATACAGCCGTGATCACAAGCAATCCCATAGACAAAGTGGGCCCTGTTGCCAGGACTGGAGAGAGAAAGCACGTGGAGACAGTAGGTAGGAAGGAGGGGCCTAAGGCTGCCAGAGCTGTTTGAGCCCAATTCAAGCCCTCCCTCCATCCTTCTCTCTCCCTCACATACCCACCCATGGCAGTGTCCCAGCCCCACCTCACCAGCTTTCTTGCTGCAAAGTCCCAAGGCCCCAGAGCTGCAGCAACCCAGGGCCTGAATGAAGCTGACTCAGTGGGTGTGTCTCATTCATATCAGGGCTTGAGAAAAGGGCAACATATTGCGAAGCTGCTGACCCCTCTGGCACTGGGCACCAGTCTAGAGCCCAAAGTGGTCCCCCTGTGAAGAAGGACACATCCCAGCGCTCTGGATGTGCTGTGATTGAGCTAAATCTAGAGAAAAGTCAAAGAGAGAATGGAGAAAAAAGTTAATAAAAGGTAATGACAATAGAATGGGAGCTCTACCTGGAGTATGACCTGGCTTAAGCAAGGACCTGAAAATCAAGAAGGTAAGCACAGTACTTAGCTACCACTTGTACCTCCCTCCTTTCTTTCCCAAACTCTTTATAGATCTAGCTCATCTTCAAAGATGAGAGGCTGTTGATTCTGGTTTACTGCAATGTTCTGTCAAGGACTGAATACTTGTGACCTTGTAAGCTGGCTTGACTCTAAGTCTCCTTAGCTTCTCTCAGTCTGGCTGGCAGCACTGAGCACTAGAAATTAGACAAGATTGATCAGCTCCAGCTAGAACCTCTATTCTTAGGACCAAGTAGACCAACTTCAGGGAAAGGGAAGGGCTAATGTGTCATCCCTTTCAAAAATTTATCTTCCCTGTTTCCCAAGAATCAGAAAAAAGGTTGAGCTGCAATCATCACCTGTTTATTCGGTACAGTGTGCCATCCTCAGGAAGCCCTTCACGTTGTACAGAAAACAGCGGAGACTTCTCCTCCTGGGGCAAGTAGGGAGCTGCCTCACTGGGGCAAGACAAAGGAAAGAGCCTGAATTTGGATGAGTTTCACCCATCCCAGGATTCCCACCATAAACCTAGAATCCTCACTCTTCTGTCTCCAGTCCTTGTCACTCCTCCTAGGCTTCAGAAATGTCACTTCAACTTACAGTTCAGATAACAAGTGCCACTTCCAGGCTAGAGGAATCCATTCAGCAAACTCCCAGAATGAATATTTCTGTTCTCGGCTGGTGAGAGAGAGAAGTATCAGTGGAGGAAGAGAGAGATTCTCTAGCAGCAACTCTAACACAACTCTCTTAGGATCAGAAATGATCTGTTGTCTGTACTGTCCAATATGCTAGCTGCTAGGGGCAAGTGGCTACTGGGCCCTTGAAATGTGTCCAGTGCAACTAAGAATTGTAACTTTCCAATTCATTTTGTTTATTTATTTTTTTGTGGTGCTGGGGCTTCATGTATGCTAACCAAGTATTCTACCACTGAATTACACTCCTGGCCCCTCATTTCATTTTAATTGAAGAGCTCTAGAGCTCTTGCCTTTGTAGTAGTGCTTTTTGGTAATGAATATCATCACCATGCTCTGCCCATGAATGCTTCTATCTTTTTAGATCATCTTTGCATTCCTCTGTCACCCCTCCCCCCACAGCCTCTGTCCCCAAGTCTCACAGGTCCTTGGTGAGATGGAGGCACTTCCAAACAGGGGCCATGATGTAATTGGGTAAGCCATTGGGAGCCACTCCCCGGCAGTGTGGCTTCTGCTTCTGAGGATGAAATGGGAGAAAAATTAAAGGGAGAGAATTTTCTAAGCTAGAAAAAGTCCCAGAAGGCAACTTTCTTTCCTAATTTTTGTTTTCCTGGCATTAAATACCCCACAACCACTGCCCTATCAGCATCTTAAAAGATTTGTGTTTCAACCACTAAAGGGACTTCTCCACTTCTGCTCCTACTCCTCTATTAGAACTGCATGTTGTGCTGTCTATTGTCTGTTCATCTTCCTTATCATCTCCAAGGCATTTGGATTCAGAGGACTCCCATATACTTCTTAAAACCTTTGCTCCATGGGACAGTCAGCCCCTATTCCCTCCACCTCTCTAATATATTCTTTTTAGGCTCTTCCTCCTCTGATGGAACTGGTCATTGAGGGTATTCTCTATATACATACTCTTGGAAACTTATCTCATGTTCCAGGGCTTAGATTCACCTTTATGTCTAATTATAAAGTTTACATCTCAGTAAACATAAAACTGGCTCAGACCCAAGTTTTCTATAAGTTCTAGATCTATATGATATTGGGGTAAGCCATATTAGCCTGCAGCAAAAGAAAAATCAGTAATCAGTTAACAAAGTTCTTGTCTTTCCACATACACAACTGAATACTCTTGAGGCCACTGAATTGTACATTTTTCAGTGGTTAAAATGTTAAGTTTTTTCTTATGTATATTTTACCACAATTAAAAAACAAACAAAACTCAGCATTATTGTTGGCTCCTACCAATTTTAATCCTATTATCCTCTCTAGTTTGATCTCCCTTAAAATTTTATCCAGGCCCTATCCTTCAGCTGCAATATATTTATGGGAAAACCATTATTTCTGACAAGTTTGTATTCACCCTTCAAGACCCACCTCATTATCATTCTTCTATGAAACCTAAACAGTTCATCACCCTCCCACTATATGCCTAAATCATTTTGTTCACTCCTGGTATAGCACGCACTGTCGCACTGTACTGCAAACCTTGTGAGACAGGGCTCTCATTCATGTCTATGCTTCCTAGCAGACAATATTCAGTTAAAAATAAACAATCTTGCTTACTATACCCCTTGTCCTATAATCTTACTAATAGCTCAAAGGACTTCCTAATAGTCCCTTTTCTTACCTATCTTGTCCAACATAATTACTATCCTTTTAGGTATCTGGCTAACCCCTTAAAAATCCTATTCTCCCATTCACTTTCTTGTCCATTCAGGTTACCCCTGAAGTGGATCCTCGTGGGTTGCTTCGGGGTGCCACAGGCTCAGGGTCAGATGAACTCTCACTTGGAGCCTCACTTTCTTCCCCCTCTTCAGCCTCAACCTGGAGCACAAAGTCTTCATCCTGTGCAGCAGTATTCTCCTCTCCACCTTGACAGATTGCCTGCTGCTGGCTCTTCTTCGGTTTGGTAGGGCTGCCCACTTTGGGGCTCTTAGGACAGGAGACTGAAGCAGGCAGGGCTGAAGAGAGTTCTTCAGCCAGTTCCTGAAGATACAGAAGTGCCCTGTGGGATAGGGCAGAGTCAAAGCCATTCTTGTAAACACTTAACTGCGAACCCAGAAATCCAGACCTGGTTGATTCTTATCTCACTGGATCCTCCCAGTAACACTATGAGGCTGCTATTAATTTCCCTTTCCATGTTGACAGATGAAGAAACAGTAACTCAGGAAAATTAAGTGACTTGGCAGAAAAAAGTCAGATAACAAATGTAGAATCTTAACTCAGATCTCCCAAGCCCAAATCCAGCGCACTTTTCATCTACTACAGTCAAAGAATATTTAGGGCAAGGGGAAAGAAAGGAAGGGCACATAAATAATGAAATAAGCTGGGTGGTAAACAGCAATGAAGAACTGGGTGAAGTCTGTGGAAAAAAAACTGTGATGGAGTACAAGGTACAGAAAGAAGCCTCTTGAATTAAAAGAAAAAAAAAAAAAAAAAAAAAAGAAATCAGCAAAAAAAGCTGCTGTGCTGAGAGCTAAAGGATTGCCCGTGGGCTGGGGTTGTGGCTCAGTGGTAGAGCGCTCGCCTAGCACGTGCGAGGCCCTGGGTTCGATCCTCAGCATAAATAAATAAAATAAAGGTATTGTGTCCAACTACAGCTAAAAAATAAATTTAAAAAAAAAAAAAAAGGATTGTCCATATTCCTATATCCCCGAGTTTAGGTACCACCCCTGCTTACCTGATACCTACTCATAGTCTTCCCATCTCTCCAACATCTGTCCCACTCCTATCCCTTCAATCACTACCCCCCTCCACCAAGCTGTTCCCCACAATCCTTACACTTGGGCAGCCCTTCGGCGGGGTCGTTCCCCAGAAGGGGTCTCAAAGTCCTCAGGGGGCCTCTTTGAAGGTGGAGACTCTGGCTGATCTAGGCCTTTTGACAACTTCAGCAGTAGCAGGTCTCCTTTGGACTTCTGACTTCTTTTCTTAGGCATGGGGGCAGATAGAGGGTTGGATTGATCTAAGAGACCGGGAACCAGAGGGGCTGATGGAAGTTTACGCTGTTGGGGCCTTTTGGGGCCTTTTCGTGTCCTACTACCTCTCTTCCGGGCAGGCTTTGAGGCCCTAGGCTTTGAGACCTTTGACATCTCTGAAGAAAGATCTGTAGAGAAGAATATGGGTTTGTGAGATGAGACCAGAACTCAAACCTCTTTGGAATAGATTATACTGCACTCAGATTTGTAAAATCCTATGAGCTCAAGCTGCTCTCTTTCATCTTAAGCTAAGTATAGGGAGATGAAAAGATGAAAGGAAAAGGTACACACCTTGCTGTTCCAGTCTGGAGAGGCTCTCTGGCTCTGGAGGAAGACTCCTCTCATCAGGAGAATCCTCAAATCCAGGCAAAGAGGGAGGCAATGACATCTCTATGGAAGCCTCCACACTGGTAGCTTCTGAGGCCTTGACATCAAGCTGGTTTAGCACTTCTCGTCCAGGAGAGTCTACCACAGTCATGCTTCCCACGGGGCCGGCCTCCCCCAAGGCAACACAGCCGACCCCATAGGTATCCATCAGCACCCCCCAAAATGGCTGCACCTACATACAGAGACACACCAATGAGCAAAAGGCAAAAACTGTTTGTATAGTCTCAGATTTTTCTCTTTTCCTGCCCTTTATTCCCTTATCCCACAACTAGAAACCCAAGCTCCCTGATCATTCATTCATTCAACAATAATTACTAAGCATCTTCTATGGCAGGCACTGGTTATATGACAAGACAGACAAGGTCCTTGCCCTCATGGAACTTTCATTCTGGTGAAGCAAACAATAAACAGTCTACCATTTATCAGATGCCTACTATGTACCATATATAAGAGCTTTATATACATTATTTAATTTAAAGCTCATACATTTTTCTGTAAGAACACTGCAGTGAATGCACAATTAATTAACCCCTCACCTTGAAAGCCAATAAAATGAAATATACATGCCCCACCAACCTCATGCCCAAATAGCAAGAAAATAATGATTATGCATCTAGGGAAGGGTAACAACTTTCTATAACAGACTACCAAGAATAGCTGCCACTCCAGGCACAGAGATACATACCTATAGTTCCAGCTACTTGGGAGGTTGAGACAGGAGGATCACTTCAGCCCTGGAGTTCAGGGCTGGCCTGGGCAACAGAGCAAGACCTGTGTTTCATAAAGCAAAACAAACAAAAAGTGAAAAGGATAGCAGCCAGACACTATAAAACTTGGACCAAACTGAAGGATGATGCCTAGAGCTAACATCCATTTCTGTGAATACTAGTGAAGGTACAAATTCATTTGAGAATAAATAACAGTTCTCTGGAGCCTGGTTATCAATCTTTCACTTGAAATGGAGAAGGGGGTTAGATTAGGAAACAATTAAGGAACATCCTATTACATTAAAAGACCATTTCCACATCGAAGAATGAACTAAAACTAAATTTTCATAAATATTTTCTTTGAGCCCAGAAAATCAGATGTGCAACCATGGCCCAAAGTAGGCTAAGCAGAGGGAGGTAATGACACTGACCACCAAACCAAAAACGTGAGCAACACAGAACTTTGCAGAGGTCCAGTTTTTTGGCAAGAATAACTTGCTTGCCTGTGACAAAAGGAGACATATAGTTTAGCTACATATGGACCTATGGACAGTCCTAAATGATGTACCTAAATGATATACCTAAATGATGAAGAATTCATCACCAGTAGAAAGTACAATATACAAAATAAAGTTCCTATTTGTCTCCTTTGAATAAGATAGTTTAAACAGATTGTAAACTATAACAATAGCTAACCCTCTAACTCAGCTGGTGAGGATATAAGGTAACACCATGTTCCAAAGATACTTTATAACAGTGTCAAGATACATACATACAGTGAGAATCAACTCATGTTGTAAGTAGAAGCCCTGACAGAACTAACCCATTCAAAATAAATAATTAGCAAAAAGGATCCAACTGAGACCTATGCACAGATCCTACAGAAAGAATTAAAAAAACACACACACACACAAATAAAGGTGAAAAGTACTCTTTTGAAGAACTGCTCAGGCAAACAAAACAATTTCCAACAAAAACTTCCATACTTTCAAAAAAACCCCACAAGACTATGGAATCCAAGAAAAGAAATCAAAGAAGAGATAAAAAAAAAAAAAAAAAAAAAAAAAAACAGAAATGTAAAAAGTAACCTGGCAACCAGGTGTGGTGGTGCAGGCCTGTAATCCCAGTGGCTCGGGAGGCTGAGGCAGGAGAATCATGAGTTCAAAGCCAGCCTCAGCAACGATGAGGTGCTAAGCAACTCAATGAGACCCTGTCTCTAAATAAAATACAAAATAGGGCTGAGGATGTGGCTCAGTGCTCAAGTATCCCTGAGTTCAATCCCCGATTCACCCCACCCCAAAAAGTGTTTCATTTGTAGAACTAAAAACAGAGAATAGCGGGCTAGGGATGTGGCTCAAGCGGTAGCGCGCTCGCCTGGCATGCGTGCGGCCCGGGTTCGATCCTCAGCACCACATACAAATAGAGATGTTGTGTCCGCCAAAAAACTAAAAATAAATAAATAAATATTAAAATTCTCACTATAAAAAATAAAAACAGAGTATAGCATACACATTTTTAAAATAAATAAATTATATACATATAAATTTTAAAATATAGATAGATATATCTTGGTTGTACTAGGGTTTGAACTCAGGGGTTCTCTATCACTGAGCCACATCCCTGCCCTTTTGTATTTTTGTTTTATTCGGAGACAAGATCTCATTAAGGGCTGAGGCAGAATCAGACTTGTGAACCTCCTGCCTTAGCTTCCCAAGTTGCTGGGATGAGGGTATCTGGCTCATAGTGTAATATATTGCTTCCAAAATACTTTGCCACAGAAAGCTCAATTCGTGTGTGTGTGTGTGTGTGTGTGTTTGCTGGGATTTGAATCCAGGGCCTTGTGCAAGCAAGGTAAGCACTCTACCAACTGAGCTATATCCCCAACCCAGGAACCTCAAAATTTTTTTTTTTAAGATCACACAATAAAAGTCTGAAGACCATGCAAAAAAAGAACAGAAGGGGAGGGGGGTATGTTGGCAGGAAGCAGAAACAAAGATGACAGAAGCAAAATTTTTTAAAAACACATGCATCATGATAATAAATATGTATCAGTAAGTTCATCCATTGAAGAATAAAGATTCAAATTGATTTAAAAAGCCAAATAACTATATGCTTTACATGATACATCCCAAACAAAAGAACTCAAAAAGGTAAAAGTAAAATGATAAAATTAAAATATATAGGGCAACTGGGCATGGTGGTGCACACCTGTAATCCCAGAGACTCAGGAGGCTGAGCAAGATCACAAGTTTGAGGCCAGTCTCAGTAACTTAGGGAGACCCTGTCTCAAATAAAAATAAAAAGGTCTAGGAATATAGCTCAGTGATAAAGTGCCTTGGTTTAACCCCCAGTACCAAAATAAAAAATATATGTGTGAGCCAGGTGCAGTGGCGCACACCTGTAATCTTAGCAGCTTGGGAGGCTGAGGCAGGAGGATCATGAGTTTAAAGCCAGCCTCAGCAAAAGTAAGGTGCTAAGCAGCTCAGTGGTTGAGTGCCCCTGAGTTTAATCCCTGGTGTCTACCACACACACACACACACACCCCCAAATATCTGTGTATGTATGTATGTATACATAATATGTGTGTTTACATATACATTATGTAGGGCAAATATAAGCATAGAGAAAACAGGAGTTTTGACGGTTAAATTCAATGGAAAAATATTAAATGGAAGAGAAAGTGGAATATTTTATAATGAACATAAATTCAAATCATATAAAAAGATAAAAATGTTACAAACATTAAATAACGTAACATTCAAATATATAAATCAATATCTTCAGAAACACACTAACAGCTTCTTTTAATTATTGACCAATCAAGTAGATAAGGACAGATAAAGGTGAATAAAATAACCATTGACCTTTATATTGCTAAGGTTCAATTGCAAAGAACAGAATTCTTAGGGTGGGGCTGTAGCTCAGTGGTAGAGCGCTTGCCTAGCATGTGTGAGGTACTGGGTTCGATCCTCAGCACCACATAAAAATAAACAAATACAATAAAAATATTCTGTCCATTTACAATTACAAAAAATAAAAATAAAAAATAAAAAAGAACAGAATTCTCTCTAGTCTGTTCAAGCAGAAAAGGATTCAGTATAGTCTATCAGTGTCTTCTCAATACCTCTCCCAGTGCCACTTCTATACCAACAGTCTATTAAGTGGCTCACCTGCAGCTGCAGCAGCAACACCTACTCTAGATTTATTGAGTCAGAAACTCTGGATGGGGCCAGCACTTTGAGTTTTAACAAGTGCTTTAGGGGATTCTGATGCATGTGCATTTCCAAATCCCTTGCATAAGTGACCACTGGGACAGATGAGGGAAAACACTAAGGAACAGAAGTGCTTGTCAAATTGGAAAGTTGTTTTTACAGCTTTGGGTTAAAAAAACCAGACAGCCTTCCCTGTGCCATGATGGGGAGCCACCTGCTGAACCAAAGCACTTGCCACAGCTGATGGCACCACAGACAAGCTGCCTCTACAATAACGAGAAAGTGACTAAATGAAGAAGCCACTTCTGTCTCACCCAGAACCAAGCACTGCCACAATCTGCACCAGCAAAATGCATGCCTCCTTAGCCTGCCTCTCCCTCCTCTAAACTCAGGTCCAAATCCAAGCTCACCAAGGACACATTTGTTTTGCGAATGATGAATCATATTCAGAATCTTGAATGCAAAAAAACTATAGGAAATACATTTCTAGGTTTCCAGGCTCTCAAGTGGAAGTCGTTCATTCTCTCAGATCCCATTTACTTCAAGGTAGAAAGCAGGATCAGTGTCTTCTCAATTCCTCTCCCAGTGCCACTTCTATACCAACAGTCTTCCCTCTCCTTTGAAACTCAAAACATTCAGCTAAACCACTGTTACTCACTCCACTATCACACCCTGAACTTCATCAGTACTCCATCTCTTAACCTTCAGAATTATCAAGATATCCCACTGGTGTGTGTGGGGTGGTCACAATCTCCCATCATTATACTAGACTACTACTACAATATCTATTCTTCAACTCTATCAAGACACAATCCCTTATCTCTCCAGTTTCTCCCTAGGTCTGCCAGATCCAATCTAGCTTAAATCCCTTCATTTCAATCAGATTCTTATTGATATTAAGAATTTCGTTTCTTTTTGTCTTTTTATCCCATAGAACTAGAAAAATTCAAGCCCTGGATGAGCCAAATCATCCTTTTTTCTCCATTTATACACCTCAGGCATTGGGTATTAGCAACCCCACTTTCTCTCATCAGTTCCCGTATGTACTCAATTCTGATTCCCTGGTTTTCCTCAATTCTGATTCCCTGGTTTTCTGCAGATGATGTTGCTTCTGATTTCTGAACAAACATCAGATGGAAAATACTTCCATGTCCTAAGTAATCTAATACTTCCTACACCTGATGTGCTCATCCCACTTGTGTTCTAGCCCTATTTCTCCCCCCCCAAAGGAAACTTGAGTTAGTTTATCCTCTTCCTTTCCACTGGTTCCTTCCAAACAATGTTTAAGGATGTTTATGACTCTCAACTTACCACACACAAAAAGCTATCTTCAAAACATATTCCTCCCAACTAATATCCCTCACCTCCCTCTCTCAAACTTTTTTTTTTTTTTGGGGGGGGGCAGGGGGTACAAGGGATGGAACACAGGGGCACTCAACTACTGAGCCACATCCCCAGTCCTATTTTGTATTTTATTTAGAGATAGGGTTTCACTAAGTTGCTTAGCACCTCATCGTTGCTGAGGCTGGCTTTGAACTTGTGATCCTCCTGTCTCAGCCTCCCAAGCTGCTGGGATTACAGGCATGCGCCACCATGCCCAGCTTCAGCCAAACCTTTTTTTTTTTTTTTAGTTGTTAATGGACTTTTATTTTATTTGCTTATTTATATGTGGTGCTGGAAATTGAACGCAGTGCCTCACACCTACAAGGCGAGCACTCTACCACTGAGCTACAACTCCAGCCCCTAGCCAAACTTTTAAGTTGACTGTCCTTGGCACTTTAATTTCCCTGCTTTATCCTAAGTAGGCTA